GCCGCGGGCGCTGCGCCGCCGGCGGAGCGCTGGGCGTAGCGGCCGAGCACGGGGCGCGGCAGGTTTGCGCCCATGGCCAGGTCGACTTTCTCATTGAGCGCCGCCTGGGGCACCCCCAATATTGACGACCACTCATTAAGCAGCGACTCGACCGCCTGCAGGCCCAGGGTGTTAAGGTCGAGGCGTCGGGACGAGGCGTGGCGCAAGCTGCTCTCGGGAGGTTTTGGGCTGGCGGCTGCCCCTGGCACCCGACATTCAGCTGCCCCTGCCGCCCTGGGGCAGCCCCGTCTCAGGGCCTCACAGGGGAGCGAAGCCGCCGCCGGACGGGATCCCCAAGCCGCCCCGTCCGCCGCAACCCTGATGGCCCCAAACCCCAAGAACACTCCAAAGCTCTGGCGGCCTGACTTACCGGGTCGTAGTCCTGCTTAGTTGCCCACAGCACCAGCATCGTCATCGCATCATCGCACAGCTGCCGTCGCATGCCCTCCGCCATTGCGGCGGCGGACGCGCGCTCCCGCCGGGGGGCCGAGAGGCGCCCGGGCGCGGCGTGGTGCCGGGGCGGCGCGCGTGCGCCTGGGAAGGCGAGCGGGACCCAAGGGTGTGGTGGTAATTTCCTGTATAATTGGGGGGCGTGCGGGCATCAGGGAGCAGCGTTCGGTCAGATGACATTGCAGCTGGCGGGTCACAGGCAGACACAAGGGGCAGTGAAGCGGGTGACCCCCCTTGCGCGACGGCGACGCATGGTTGGAGGCCGGTTCATGCAGGAGGTTGTGGCGTGAAGGTCAGCAAGTGCGCCTGCGGGTGTTATCGATCAAAATTTGATGATGATGCGGCCCGGACCCCGTTTCTTACAGGGAAGGACGGAACCCAACAGCAGCGCCCACCACAACAGCCCTCGTAATCGGGCGGGCACATGGCAGGCCGGACTGGGCTGAGGCGCACCTGTCAGCACTGGGCGCTTGTGCGACGCGCAAGATTGCTGCAGCTCTGATTTGGTCCACGTCTTCTGCAGCACATGTGTAGCACGCATCGGGATTATTCGTGGGTGTTTACCGCGTTGCCGCCCCGGCCACCGCGCTGGAGCGGCGACGCAACTGGTGTGACTGATGCAACCTAGGTGTGGGCGTGCTGCACCCAGGGATCACCCAAGGAGCACGAGGCAAGGATTAAGTACTCACCTCAGAGTTTTCGCAATACCGCAGTGGACATCGGTCCTGAAGTGTGCGTGCTTTTATGCCCCCATGCGCGGAAGGCACGATCTGTGCCAAGGTGACACCGAAATGAGGGTCAATTGCCCTAAATTAATATCTGGATTCTGGTGCATAGCTGCAACAATCAACAAGCGCGCCAAACGTAAGGGGCTGGATGTCACCAGGTACACGCACAGGCAACGGCGCGGCAACTGCCTCGCTAGTCGCTCGTGACACTATCAAAATTTACCAAGTCATCAGTTACAATAGACAACGTGAAGATGCTGTATGTTGAGCGGCGACGTGGTGGCAAGCGCGATTGACTGTCACTGCAGCGGAGCGCGAGCAGATCTCGCCATGGCGCCCTCCGTACTTGGCCCTGCGCTCGACAATGTCTGCCACGCCATGGCCTTCAAGTTGACACCTCTCTACAGTGCTCAGTTAGACCGCCGTACCCGCTGGCGCCGCGTCTTGCGGCGAGCCAAGGCGCCTGAAGGCGGCAGCTGGGTGGCCGACTTTGACGTCGCGCACATGACCCCTGGCGGCGTCGCGCGGCTGGCGGCAATCATAGACGACGAGATGTTGGAGGGGAAGCTGTCGCAGCTGGCAGATCGGCCGGGGCTGCCCCTTACGTTTGGAGTTGAGGAAGCCTCGCCCCAGGAGCGGGTGCGCCCATTGTCACCCAACGCCGCGCCCCACCGCCACGGCTGCTCGCCATGGGGGATGCCGCTGCCAAAGAGTGCGGCGCGTCGTGATACCAGCGGCTGGCGCCCTGGCCCCGGGGGGTCCCCAGCGCCAGGGGCTGCCTGCGGGGTTGGCGCGCCGACCCGCCCACCACCGTGTTTCTGGGAATCAGCAGAGGCCAGCAGCCGCGTCGGCTGGGTGGCATCGAGCGCTCTCCGGCGCCAATTCGAACTTCGAACTCCGGGATTGTGCGCGTCGCCGCGCGCGTGCTGGCGCGCGCGCGCGTACACACACACACACACACACTCCATCTCTCTCTCTCTCACTCACGCACGCACGCACCCACACACATGACCTCGTCCCTGCGCCCCATCAGACCGTGAGTGCCACCTACCTGGCGGTGCCTAACCGCATCGTGCTGTACCGCGCGGCCTGGAGGCGTGAGGCCAGCTTTGCCACCCCCGTCCAGGTGGACGGAGTGTACACCCTCAGCAGGTGGGCATGCGTGCATGCATGTGTGTGTGTGTGCGTGTGTGTGTGTGTGTGTGCGCGCGCGTGTCGGGGGAGGGGGTCTGTGGGGGGTATGTAGTGGTTTTTCCTTAGGAAGGAGGAGCAAAAGACGAATGATGACTTGCCGTGCACCACGGCGTGTGCACCCTGAGGGTGCTGGGGGCAGTGAAGAGGCGGGCATATGTGCATTATTAGGCAGCGCTAGCAGCCCCCTGCTTGCGGCGTTGCTGCTCGGCAGCATGCCGTATCCTCCTTCTGCATCATACTTTGATTGCACCGCGGAATGCATCACAAGAAGTCAACTCTGTTCACGTGTCCGTTCATCTTCTGGCTGTTTGTGTACACCTCAACCAGTCCTCAGTGTTTCTGCCTCCTCCCTCCAATCTCTGCTCAGGCTGGAGTGGCTGGTGCACACTTTGGGCCATGAGATGGTCCACGCTATTATCAGCACCTCCTGCCCAGGCGCCACCCAGGCTCCTGCCATGCGCAGCCTACAGGGGCATGGGCCCCTCTTCCAGCGGCTGAACAGGCACCTGATGGGCCACACGGCCGCACACGTGTACTTTGCTGGCTGGCGCAAGGACGGGCGGCGCTATCACTATGCAGGCCGCGGCGTTGGAGGGCGCGGCAGCTTGCAGCCATGACTGGGATGAGAGGGGCACGGCGATGCGGTCGGTTGTTGCGTGCGTGTCACCCTGCAGCAGTCACCGGCGCGCACGCTGCATGGGTTTGGATAAGGACTGTTGTCTCATGCGTGCGTGCGAGCGTTTATATGGTTTGGCTTTTTGTTTCACTTGGTATTGTGGCACCATTGACACCGTTTAGGTGGCTCTACACAAACAACTTTCTCTCGGCGGGTCTGATCTCGGCCGCAACAAGCAGTACGATGTATACCGTATAGAGAAACACATCATAATGTTATGCAAAAGTCGTGTGTGGCGAGCGCAGCCATCTTCAGCCCCAGCGGAAGCGTGGTTTGGCGTGTGCCTCCGCGCCGCTGCCGCTCCGCAGCACCGCTGCCGCCGGCGCCGTGGCGGCGCGCCCCTCACGGTCGCACGCCATGAGACGCGCCAGTCGGCGTTCAACGTGGCGGCACGGAGGATGGTGCCATCGAAGGTCTTGAAGCCTTTGGTGGGCGAGGAACGGCGGACGCTAGGTGCGTCGCGATGAGGGGGTAATGCCGACAGCTGAGCAGCTAGGGTCGACTCCACGACCGGGCTTGGCCGCGACTGATGCAGCTGCACATGTCTATAGCGGTGTCACAAGAGCTGCACTGACCGGCACTGACTGGCGGCCTGCTATCATCCTGAAATGGCAATTATTTCGTTGTGCAGCGGCCGCAGCATCCTCCCTGCCCACACCCCCACCCTCGCTGCCCGCCCCTCTGCCTCCTGCGCCCCGCAGCCTTCCAATACGCGGCAGACCTCCAGATGTACAGCCGCGGTCGCCTCTCCCTGCATGCCGCCCTGTTCCTCGTCACCTCGAGCCCGCAGCTGATGCGCCTGCCGCCGCCTCGGCTGGCCGAGCGCATGGGGGCGCACGCGGCGGCGCTGGGGCTGCCGGTTGCTGATGTGGCGGACCTATTAGTAAGGAACCACGAGCTGGTCGACGCTCTGCCGTTTAGGTGAGTCATCATGACTGCTCTCGTGACTCGTATCATCAGGCACCCACAAGGTGGCAAGGTGGCCCGCAGGCAGCTGGTAGCAACTTCTCCAATTCATGTGCAGGAGCTGCGTCGCCCTGGTGCCGATGCGGGGCAGGCGCCGCAGCGGTTTCTGAGAAAGCCTGCTGACCCAAAGCCGCCAGGGCTTCTGGGTGCTTCCTTGAAGCTGATGAGAGCATTCATCGCGCAGGGGGCGACTCTTTTGTCGCAACCCTCACAACCTGGTACGCTCACACGCGCGCCCCGGCCGACCTGGGCCACTGCAGGCTGCGGCAGACCGCCGACGCGCTCGCGGCCGCGCTGCAGGTCCCCCTGCCCCTCGCCCTCGTCGTCATGGCGCAGCGCCCCGCCACCATGGCGCAGCCGCCGCTGCGCGCTCGCCAGGCGGTCGAGGGCATCGCGGCGGCGCTGCGGCTGCCGTTTGCCGCGGCGGCGGCGATGGTTGTGCGGGAAGCAGAGCTGCTTGGCATTGAGCCCCATGCGCTGGTGCCCAGGTGGGTGCCGCGAGGGCAGCTTCCCGGCAGCTGCCGGCTGGAAGCCGCCGGGCCTGTCGACAGCCGCTTGGCCGCAGCCCACGGCCTTGCTATGTGTGACAGCGCTTGGATGCGCGGGCGCACAGCAGCCTAGCACGTTGCGTGAAGGCCCCCTCTTGCAAGCACGGTTTAGGGCTTAATAAGCAGCGGCACGTCACTGCAGCGGCCTCAAGAGACCCCCATTGACTGCCTTGACCCTCATCATGTCCTGAACAACCGAAGGGTCGCGGCCCTGGCGCGCATGCTCGACGCGTCGGAGGCGGCTGCCCTGGAGCTGTGCTTCGAGGAGCCGCGCCTGCTGCTGCCAGCGTCGCCTGTGCTGGTCGACAACTTCAGGCGGCTGGCGGCCGCGCTGGCAGAGTATGACCTGTCTGGCCTGGAGGAGGGCGGTGGCGGCGGCGGCGACAGCAGCGGCTTGGGAGATGGCGGGCGGCGCGGCGGCGGGCCGGACGCGAGCGGCGCCGCCGCCGACCGCGAGGCCGCCGCGCGCCGCGTGCTCCGCGCGTG